AATCATTATCAATTATAAATCAATCAAAAATTTATTACGTATATTTTTTTAATGATAATTTTTTAAACTTTTTTTAAAATATATTTAAATCATTTTTTTATTATAAATGAAGAATACTGATTAAATGATATAGTATATAATTTTATTTTTATTTAATATTATTAATAAGAAATTTATTTTTCTAGCTTATTAAAACAAATATACATTTTATTTAATTTTAAAAATTAACAAATATATATCCGTAAGAGGGCGTTATATGTTTGAATATGTATCATTTTAGGAAACCGGAATGATGATTGGATAGCACTTTTTTTATATTTGGGTATATATATACATATGAAAAACCTAAAAATTAAAAATTTTTTTTAGGTTTCTTTGATGTTTAATGAGTAGGTTTAGAATAGTAAAACAATGGAAATTTTTTAAAGTAAATATTGCTGGCGTTATTTATCAAAATCTCTTCATTTTTGTTTTATACGTGTATATTTACCGATTTGACCGATTGCCGAGTTCAAAACCGACCACTTATTAAATATTTGATTGATCAAATTTGCTATTAAGATAAATTGAAAAATGTTGATTTTTGTTTTATGTATCTATAAATACGTATAAAACATAATTTCAAAAAATATTTTTTTAAAATATCGTGATTTGACCCGAAAACCGACCGAATGACAAAATACTGCATTGCTGGCGTTATCCATGGAAAAATCTTCATTTTTGTATTATACGCGTATATATATACGTGCTAAGCATTATCCTAAAAAATATTTTGAAAATAATTTGATTTGACTGATTGCCGAGCTCAAAACCCCACTTACTAAATATTCGATTGATAAAATTTACTAGTAATATGATTCGAAAAATGTTCATTTTTTGTTTTATATATCTATAATTACGAGTAAAACATATACGAGTCGGTTATCCGCCAAACCATGATATTTTTAAAATATTTTTTGGGATTATGTTTTATATGTATTTATAGATATATAAAACAAAAATGAACAATTTTCAAATTATATTACTAGTAAATTTGAATCTAGGAAAATAATTCCCCGGAAAAAAAATCCCGTGACCCGGATCTGCTCTGCAGTATTTAATTAAATAGAAATGTTTTTTAAAGTCAAATTTCTTCGAGGATTTGAGATTTTAAATAATAAAACGAAAGTTAAATAAATCTAGTTCACCTTTACACACTTTCATCAACTTTTAGGTATTTATTGAAAAATTATTTTTACACAAATTTTAATCATTTTTTTAGAAATATGATAAAAGGCTTTTCACAGTTTACTGACTCTTAAATAGCGCCCCTTTTTGTTTTTACAAGGATAAGCTATTAAATAATATAATTTTATAAATTTTGTGGCTAAATAGGAAATTAGCAATTCAATCTGATACCCTCTATTTGATAAATATTATTTTACTGAAGTATTTACCTACTTTAAGAATTTAACTGACTGAATACAAAATCACTATAAAACTTGCAAAATTATATTTTTTACTGCCCAATTTTAATTAAATACTGCCAAAAGTAATGAAAAATGCTGACCACTTTAATCAAAATACATCCAGAGGTGATTATCAGCAGTGAGTATTATATTTTTCTAATCTAACAATTATTATTTTGCTTATGAATTTATTTTCAAAGTTACAGAAAAGAAATAATTATAATTTTATTAAATGATATATAGAATAATAAATTATATTATTCAAAAGAAACAATTCTAGAACGTATATGTTCTCCAATTGAAGAGAGAAGGAGGGGGTGAGACAACGGACCGATAAAAGGTTTATTAAAAGTAAAATATGAGATAGGTTAGCTTAGCATAATATATTTATTTAAATATGAGAAATGTAACTATTTCATTTAAAATAAATTGTTTGGGAATCGTACCTTGTGCAGTGTAGCGAAGAGAACGAAAGCTACAATAAATATATTAAATGTAAGCTATATTAAAAAAGAATCTAGAAAAATAATTCCCCGGAAAAAAAATTTCCGTTTTTAAGATAATTAAAATTACAAAATTAGGAGAAAAAATTCCCTATAAATAAATCAACGAAATAATAATTCTCAAATAAAATATTTAAAAATTTTGATAAAATTAATTCTGAAGAATTATTAGGATTATGTTTTATACGTATTTATAGATATATAAAACGAAAATCAACATTTTTCAAATTATATTCCTAATAAATTTGGTCAATCGAATATTTAGTGAGTGATCGGTTTTGAGCTCGGCAATCGGTCAAATCAAATTATTTTCAAAATATTTTTTAGAATAATGCTTAGCACGTAAATATACACGTATAAAACAAAAATGAAGAGATTTTGATAAATAACGCCAGCAATATTTACTTTAAAAAATTTCCATTGTTTTACTATTCTAAACCTACTCATTAAACATCAAAGAAACCTAAAAAAAAATTTTAATTTTTAGGTTTTTCATATGTATAATATATACAATAATATAAAAAAAATGCTATCCAATCATCATTCCGGTTTCCTAAAATGATACATATTCAAACATATAACGCCCTCTTACGGATATATATTTGTTAATTTTTAAAATTAAATAAAATGTATATTTGTTTTAATAAGCTAGAAAAATAAATTTCTTATTAATAATATTAAATAAAAATAAAATTATATACTATATCATTTAATCAGTATTCTTCATTTATAAAAAAAAATGATTTAAATATATTTTAAAAAAAGTTTAAAAAATTATCATTAAAAAAATTTACGTAATAAATTTTTGATTGATTTATAATTGATAATGATTGATTGCCTTTTAGCAATGCATTAGCAATTCAATGTATAGTGGGGAAATTTTTTCCGGGGAATTATTTTCCAGGGGAATTTTATTCCGGGTATTATTTTTCCAGAGAATTATTTACCTGGGAATTATTTTCCTGGGGATTTTTTTTCCGGGGAATTAATTTCCGGGGATTTATTTTCCGGGAATTTTCGGGATTCAAAATTTACAGAGGCATTATCAGGGCAGAAAGCTGACATGCAAATCATTGATAACCCTGAATCAGCTTTATTTACCATTATGTGGCTAGCTACATTGTTGGATTTTTCACTATACAAGAAATAATAAGTTTTATTGAAATGTTCTTATTCTTGTTGATATAGCGAAGGATTGAAAGAAATGTTTTAATATTTCCCTTATTAGATGCATCTGTTAGAATTGCATATAGATGCCCATCTTTCAAATCGTCTAAAATAGACCTCAAGGATTCAGATACTAAAACACTTGTGATAGCCTTGCTCATTTTTGTTTGGCCACAAGTAAGGTTTGCACTTATATGAAGTCGTTAAATATCATGAGAAAAAGATTCAACCCATTGTGATGATATAGCTCTGTGAATGTTGAATAACAAGACAAATGTATACGATTTCCGCAAATAGTTGCATCTGTATTATTTATTATTTTTGAGAATAATTTCATATTGCAATCGATGTTGATATACTCCCCTGTACTGATTTATATGAATGAAAGATTTATTATTGGATATAAAAATAAAACAGGATAGAAAGAAATTTACAAACTAGACATGTTTTTCAAGTAAATATTTAATATTTTAAAAATAATCAATTAATGTCTCTCAAAATTTTTATATATTAAAAACGTTAAAATACTATTTTAAAAAAATTGCGGTAGTCTTACAGGAGAGAGTTGTCTGCATGTGACATGGAAACCCTGTTCACGACTGTCTAAAGTAAGAATAATGTATAAAACAACAAATATTTTAATTAAAATCTGAAATATTTGTCCTCTAGTCAACTAGAGGACGATATTTTATGAACTATAGTTCATAACTCAAGTCAGTTTGGGTCAATTTTTTGACCCAAAACTAGGTTCAGTTTTGACTAAGTTGACTCAACTCAATCGATTAACAACACTATTGGATCTACTTTAAAAACAAACCAAATAAGAATTTTGTTTGTTCTTAATGAAAGGCTTCCTTTTTTAAAATTCATTGTTTATTTTTAAATAGTTTACATTAAATTAATAGATACTAGGGTTGTGCCGATCCACATATTTTTCACCGATCCGATATTGCTTCAAACCCGATCCAATATTTATACTAATTTTTAATCACCCCCCATTTGAACCAAATGTAATTAAAAATAAATATTTTTATGCAAAAAATTGAATTATGAATATAATTTTTTTATTCCTACAATTAGACTATAATAAAAAAAATACATATAATAATATATCCATTTTATGTTGGTATGAATTATAAAATTATAATATTTAATATATAAAATTATAATATATTAGATTTTTTAAATAAATATGAGAGCCTCCAGAATTTCTGGGAATAAGCTACTACAATATGAAATATCTATATCTCCTGCCGTACTGAAGGCAGACTCAGATATTCCGCAGATAACGCATTTTGCAAAATTATCTGTCTTTTGTAAAATATTTCCATAATTCAGATACCATATTTAAAAAAATCTTTTATTTAAAGTATAAATAAAAAAATTAACATTATTTAAAAAGATTTAAAATAAATAAAAGAGTGTTCCTTTCTATTTTTTATAACAAAAACTTTAATAATACTCTAAATCTATTTTAAAAAAGAAATAAAATTTATAAAAATTATTTAGAAAATATTATAATTGTAAAATAAATATACATAACATAAAATAACAAAAAAAAAGAAAAGTAAAAAGATTGGATCGGTTTTATGACAGGTATTGATCCAATATTTTTGGAAAACGCTAAATATCGGTACTGATCCCATATTTAATATCGGCAAAGCCCTAATACCAAATTTAAAAACCATAAATCATACTTATTAATATAAATAATTTCTAATAAACAAATTAAAATTTATGACTACATTTTAAGATTATTGTATTAAATTTTAATAAGATATTATTTAAAATTTTATATAAGATCTAACATACTTAGCCAGGTAAAAAGTTATTTCAGATAAGTAGAAAAACTTTCATACATTTTAGCATTCAACCAATAGAGTAGTTTTAATAATAAAGATTTATTTAAAAATTTACACAATTTCATTCATTATTACAATCAAAATAAAAGCATGATTATTAAACCAATCTATAAATTAGCATGTATTTGAGCAAAAATTAAAAAATAGATGCATTGCTTTAAAATTTCTCTTCTTCAACTCCATCTTTAAAAAATATAAAATATGGGGTAATGCCATCTTCACGAAAATTCATGAGGGCAACCATGCCCTTATCTTCGAAATTTTCACCTATAGATAATAATGATTACATCAATGCGACATATTAATAAAATATAAATATGTTATTAGAAGATGTTAAATAATATTTGCATTTTCTTGAACACAAAATAATGATAGTGTGTTTGATTAAGTGCAAAATAGATGTTAAATAACTTACCAACATAAAGATCATAATTTTTAAAATTAGGCAACATTGTTTTCGAAAAAAACTGATTCAGTTTTTCTTTGGTTTTATCAGCATATTCTTTTCCTTTTTCCTTTTCTACCCTCTCAATTAATCTAAAAAGAAAGTTAAATTATATCCTAATATAAATTCCATACGTTTTCATATATTGCTTTAAATATGTCATATAATCCTTCTTTTGAAATGGTATTTGGATTAATGAATGATTTAAAACAACATCTATGCCTTTCTCAACGTTAACATCTATAGCTTCGTCTTGTTCTTCAGCTGAGGGATTACTCCCTATAAAAGCATCAAATGAACCCCCTGATCTTGAAACCATCTTTTTTTTTAATTTGTAAAAAATTAAAATTTATTTATTACTTTTCCATCAACTTCATAATATAAATCATCAACTAATTTGAATTTAAATGAATCAGAAAATAATTCTGCCTCTTAAAATAAAATAAATTATGTTCAAATATAGGAAATATTGTACCAGTGAATATATCTTTGAAAATTTTCATTTATCTGGATTTGGAGGGCGGAAAAACGTCAACTACTCAATATTCCACTAGAAAATATCTAAAACCGTGAACTAGTGCTATACGCTACTTCGGTCGATAAATAGTTCTATATAAAAAAATAATTTTGAAGCGGACTCGTATATATATAAATAAAACCATAATACTTGTCAATATCTATTATAAAATATAATAATAACCTTATGTGATATTTAAGATATAAAAGGTTTAATAAGAATAAAATGTATTATTTTAATAAAATGAAAAGATCAAAAGATAATTTAACTAACAATAATATGTTTAGATCTTCATCAAAAATAGTTATGACATACGATATAACTTATTTTTTTATAATATGCAAAATTACTTACTGAATTATGAAGTTTGATCATATGCAGAGAGTATATTTTGTTAGATAAATAATTTTGTTATATAAATGAGATGAAAAGGCGAGGTAATTTTAGAGATATTTACTTTAACGGTTTAAAAAGTTTCAGTTATTTACTCTTTTATTTTTTGACGGGCTTTTTACTAGTTATTTATAAAAATAAAATAAATAAAATTGTAAATACTTGATTATAGTTGAAGCATACAGTTCAGGAAATAAAACATACGTATCACTTTCGATATATATGTTATATATATTTCGAATTGGTTTTTTCATATGGACTTTAAAAACATCATATTTCAATAGATATTTTCTGATAGCTTTATAATTAAAATGGCTAAATGATTTGAAGCTAGAAACTCAAAATATAATTTTTCTAAAAGTTGTTTCGATCAAATTTTATAATTTCCTCGCTTCAAATACTATGGCAGACAAAACGAAAATTCTATTCTGGATATAATACTTTTACGATTAGTAAGGCTATAGCTCTTAAGACTACTATGTCACTTTTTGGTGAGCCTCACAAGATATATTTGTTATAGATGATGTCCTTCTATGATAATTTTACATAGAATTTATTTTTCTTTTCTGTTAATGGTTTCTTTTAATTTATTCCTCCCTCCTCCAGCTAAAAAAAATAACTATTTATTATACCTGTATTCTGTAATATAAATAAAGATATCAACTAGATTTATAAACTTTATATAAATATAAATATCATAGGAAAATTTATATTCTACCCTATAAAAATATTTCAGCCGTTAATATTTTTTCTTAAATGTTAATTAATAAACATTTCAATTATTGATTTCCAATATAATTTGGATCTATATTTTAATAGTCATTTTCTTAGTATAAATTTTGGGTGTTTTTATTAATTTTTATTATTTTAATAACAAAACGTAATAATTCTTATACTTAGTATTTTTATTTGCCTTTAACAATGAAAAGTATACATTTTTAAAGTTTTTATCAAGAATACCTTGCTTCCTATTAGTTAGATTTACAAAATTGAATAGATGTTCTATTGGAAAGCTATATGGGATAACAGGGTTTTGAGTATTATAATAATATTTTTTGTACACACTTCTTATCTCAGAGTGAAAATAATTTTCAACGTTTTATTTTCCAGGACTAAAAAAATTGCAATTTTTATTTTTTTTCACAGATTCAGATAAAAAATTGGAACATAATATAATTTTTGTAAATTATTACTTGTTCCAACTTCTTTTTTTTATTCTCTGGATTTTAGGATCCATTTAGATTCAATCCTCCATAACATTAAAATCGGTGTTGCTACGGATATTTATATTGCAATTTAAATAGTGGTTTCTTTTCTTCAATTTGTAAATTAATTGAAAATTATTAACTATATAAACATTTTCTCAATTTAAAAAATTTATACATTTATAAGTCTATTATTTTAATAAATTACAAAGTGTAAAAATATTTTGAAAATGGTAAAAGACACCTTAATGTATTTAAATATATGATGCAAACTTATATAACTTAGCGTAAAGGAGAGACGGGGGCTAGTCGGCGCAAGGGGCTTCTCGGTTCAAAGGATTTTATTTTAAAACCAGTAATGATTAAAAGTTGAAATTTTGTTCTAAAATAGAAATCTATAATATCCATATTTGGGGATGAAAATAATTAACGGAATTTTTAAAAAATATATAATTTAACAATTCTAGAAATTTCAAGAAATTTAACAACCAACGACTTCATAATACAAAGTATAATAATAGATATAATGGAAATATAATTAGTGCAAATGATTATATGAGGAAGAAGGGGGGGGGGAATTAAATAATTTACGGATTCTTTTTTTTTATTTCTTTATAATTTTTATCTGTTATGACATGTTTTTGGCGTAAAAATTAAAATATTTTCACTTAATATTATTAGGTTGTATTAAAAAATTAAAAATTTAAACATGACAAAATACACATTATATGAAAGTTAAATATCTATTATAATATTTTGGAAAGTATAAGAATGATATATAATTCTTAAATATATGTTAAGATTAAATTAGTAATATTACCACCATTGAGATTAGTAGAATCGTGGCTAGTCGGCGCAAGCAATCAATTTTTATTATATTATTATGGTCAGTGGCCCCTACAACGGGTAGAGGGTCCGAAGCAACTGCATCTAAAAATTTGTGTGGGGGTACTTTTTTTAAAATTGTTTAAAATATTTTTTTTGTTAAATTTAATTCTTTTTTTGTTTTGCTACATCCATCCATAATCAAGTGATCTCTAGTTTATTAATATAATAATAAGACCCCCCCACCCCCACTTATTATTTAATTTAATATGTATTGACGGAAATTTTGGGCGATATTTATTAAATTAAGTTGTTATCCGAGATTTCTTGTCATAAAATTATTTTCCCAATTTCAAAATATGTCCAAAAATATTAACCAAAAAAATACAAATGCTTAATTAAAAATTACACATCTCATAATATAAGAGATGATAAATGGACAGACCACATTAGAAAAAGACATGGTGGGCTTAATTTTAACGGTATAAAGTAAAGCTTTGTAATAGTAGCAATTTTCCATATTACAATATATAATACCCCAGAAAGAATGTGTGGACAATAACCGTTCTATTATAAGAATAATAATAAGATGTCTAGGTTATGTAAACAAGCCTTCTGGGGAATAGGCAACCAGAAGGCAATATGATGGGCCTTAATAAACTAATTGCAGATTCTGAACCTGTTGTCAAAATGTATTTACAACAAAATGAAGAAAAAAAAGGGATAAAAAAAATAAGGGATTAAAATCTAAATTATATTCAAATCTATTATCATATAATAACATAAATATTGTCATTGAAACCATGAAAAATATGATTATAAAAATAATTCAAAAGGAGATTGAATTTAACAGGTGCTTAGAAACAGGGGCGTCGCTAGCCTTTACAATCTCAGGGGGCTCAACTAATAAAATTTTATGGGGGGCTTCGCCCCCCATACCCTTTAATTTGCCCGCTTTTGCCCGGCCTTCGGCCGGGTTTTTTAAAAATTACTAAACTCTTGAAGGATTATTCTTATTTTCATATTTTGTTTTTTATTATATTATACGTACAAAATAAACTAGAATATAAATAATTAAGACTATAATATTGATCATTAAGACTAAAATATAAATATCATTAAGACTAGAATATAAATATCATTAAGACTAGAATATAAATATCATTAAGACTAGAATATAAATAATTAAGACTAGAATATAAATAAATAAAACTAGAATGTAAATAATTAAAACAATACATTTCTACAAATTTTTCAATACAAAATCGATTTACTACAGTATAAAGTATTTTAAATTGCTGATATAAAAAATTTCGCGTCTAAAGAATCACAAGTGATAAAACCGATTAATTAATTCATACATATGCCTCTGTTAATGTTTTTAAAAACCCCATAAGGCAATATAATTCTAAGCAACTAATTAACAAAAGGTCATGAAACTAATATAACTCTCTCTTACCATTTTAGACAAAGTTTTATAGAATGAACTAATAAGGAAAAATTTATAGGCCTAACCAAATCAACAATTCTTGAAGAAGAGAATATAAACGACCAATCCAAATCATAAAAATATATGGTGGTGAGAGCTTCCTCTTAGATGACATGATGGAAGCTAGATAAGTAATCGAGAAAATTATTGTGAGATATTAAATTTCTAAAAGATTATCTTCCATTTTTAATCCTATATAAACTACTGGACAGTTGATCATTGTTGCTCATCTTAATTATGCAATCATATGCTCTCAGCAGCTGTAGTAATAATCTTAAATTACATAGCCACACAAATAATAGATGCTGGTTAATTTGCAGTCATAGCCATGACATACACGATGTTAACTCATATCAAAATCTAGTATGTTAGATATATTGATAAAGCAAAAACACCTAAAATCTTGGAAGAAATTATGTTTGGAAGAAATTATGCAAATATATTGATGGGTTATTTACAATTTAAGTGTGCCAAATTAGAAATAATTAATTTGGGAGCTAGAAAATAAACCATAGTGATATGATGAAAGCAATTAAGATCTTATATATTATTGTATTGTCAATGTATTCAAATATTTTTAATAAAATTTTTCAGAAACTTTGGTCATATCAAAAGAAAGCATTTACTGTTTTTTTCTGATTTTTTCCTATCTCAAAAAGAATTTTTTTATAAGCACCATGTCTTTTAGCTAATTTTGGATATGAAAAAAAAATTTATAAAATAAATATACAATATATTTACTCGCAGATACTAACGCCTAAAATTGCGTTTCAAAAATTATAAGGTTAAATTATTTATAAAATAAGTTCTCTACGCCGGCTAGTCATTATTGCATATTCATCTATAATGTGATCTATAGGAATGGTATTAATAATATTTTTTTCTATGCTCAATAGAGCCAACGAATTTAATCGTTCCTGACCCATTGTCGATCGAAGATATGTTTTCACCCGTTTTAATGCTGAAAACGATCTTTCACATGAGTAGGAATTAAAAGGTATAGTTAACGCAATTTTAAGGCAATTAAATATACGAGGGAATATATCTATGGGTAAGATTTTTATCAAATCTATTATTGATTTACACGTAGATTCGTGTTTTTTATTATAGGTTAAAATATAAGCCTTTAATATTATGTATTCTTCCATTGGATCAGGAAGATTATAATGTAAGATAAATGGTTTAATGATATCATTATTTAAAAAAAGGGGGAGGAGGGATGTAAAGCATTTATAGCTATTAAAATATCTGTGTTTTCTTGGCAAAATCTCTTTTTTAATTCATTTATCATAATATCCAAAATTGGATAAAAGACATGACACTTATAAAAAGTTTCTGTTTGATCAGAATGATTAGAAGAAACAATATCATCTATTTGAATATAATTATTCAAAATGGTAGAAGGTATATTTGCTCTTTTATTTGTTATTTTTATATTATATAAATTGCAAAATTTATTTACTTCGGTAAATAATGAAGAAAAATACGAATTATTTCTTAAATTTGACAAATAACTGATAAGAGACTCAATAAGAGCCAATGCTGTTGATATGTCCGAATCTGATTTTTGCAAAAAAATAGAAATATTGGAACACATAGATAATAATTTTTGGAATATAAACATACACATAATTGTATCATATTGTAAAAGAATATATAAAATTCCCTTTGCTTTCACCACATCACCATGGTCTATATTTTCTAGATAAGAAATACTTGCAGGGAAAGTCATATTTACTGCCTCTATAGTTCTAATATGGGATCCCCAACGTGTAGAACTCAATATTTTTGGATTTTAACCCTAATCTAAATTGCAAATCAAGAAATTTATTGTGATGGATAACAGATATTGAGAAAAAAGCATGAATACCTTCTAATACATTAAAAAACTTTCTAGATTGAGGTACTGATTTGCAGGCAGAGATCAGTACAAGGTTGAGTTTATGCGCATAGAAGTGCACATATATAGCCATTTTGTGATTTTGGCGTTATCTTTCCTGGACTCCTGAAAGATGCCCTTTCATAACACTTGCACCATCATATGCTTGAGCAACGCAAATTGAATTTATGGAATTGTTGTTTAAGGTTGTTATTAATGTCTTCGTTAATGACTCTGCATCTAAGTCTTCAACTTTTTGAAAAGATATAAAAGATTCCTTTGGTGTTTTTGTTTTATCAACATATCTAACACATATACTAAATTGCTCATATGAGCTAACATCACGAGTGTCATCAGCCATGACAGCAAAATAGCCTGCCTCCCTTATTTCTGATGCTATGTACTTTACGATTAAGTTTCCAGCTGTAGATAGCATTTGATTTTGTGGTTGAGGTGAACAATAATGAGCATTGCCTGGTGGTTTATATGCTTTTAAAAATGGATCATACTCTTTCAAACAGTTTAATATTTCACAATAATTTCCTTGTCTTACTTTCATAATGACCTCTAAGGGGAAGTTCCAACTTACCACATAGTATTATAATTTTGAATAATCGTTTCAAATATTCTCTTCTTTCAAGTATTGTTGATTTAGTTAGAGCTATAAATTTTTCTTTAATGGTGCCTTCTATCAAAGATTGTTTAAAATGGTTCCAGAGAATTACATTCGTTGCATGACCATTTGTTGCTCCGTGAGTTGTTAAGTATTCTTTTAACTTACGAAATTTTTGATAACCTTGATTAAAAAGGTATCCTTTTTGAGGTTGAGTGGGAAAATTACGACAAGGAAAACAAAAAATAGAGTTTCTGGTTATGCTATATTCAATCCAGGGAAAGGATTTGTACCACTAAGTTTGAAAGCATCGTTTATCTTTACCCATTCTAATATATGGATAGGCACCTAATATAGGTTGCATAGGACCAGTTGTTTTAGTACCCAGATCTAATTCTTCTGAAAAAAGTGATAAAAATTAATAAATGAATTAAAATATTATTGGTTTTAGAAAATTATGACAAATATTATATATTTGAAGAAAAACATTGTTAAAATAAAAATAACTTGTATAAGTTCTTCTAAAAAAGTGACAAATATTAATATTAAAATTAAAATATTATTGCTTTTATGAAAATTATGACAAATATTATATATTTGAAGAAAAATATTGTTAAAATGAAAAAAATACTTGAATAGTTGTTATTTTTAGATTGGGCCAAACGTATAGCTTCTAAATATCTTATAAACAAATTAATTTACTTATTTTCTTTCCTTCTGTATCTACATTATTTATAATCATGTCATTCACAATACTTTCTTCATTATTTAATAAATCTAAATAAGGTTAATTTTAAAATGTATTTCATCAAATGTAATTTGTTGTAATAAAACTTCTTTATTCAATATACCTTTATATTTACTGCTATCAAGAATCTGGCTTGTTGTAGTATCCTCTTCATAATCCATGCCTAAAATTTTATATTTAATTATATTTAAAAAATTAATACCTTCAGAGATATTTATACATTGGATCTCACATATATCTTCAGATTGAGCCACACATATTGCTTCAATTATTTTATAAATAAAATATCTTATATATAAATTAATTTACCCATTTTCTTTCCTTCTGTACTTACATTATTTACAATCATGTCATTCACAATACTTTCTTCATTATTTAATAAATCTAAATAAGATTAATTTTAAAATGTATTTCATCAAATGTAATTTGTTGCAATAAAACTTCTTTATCCAATATACCTTTATATTTACTGCTACCAAGAATCTGGCTTGTTGTAGTATCCTCTTCAGATTCTATGTCTATATAAAATTTTATATTTAATTTAATTATATTTAAAAATACATTCAGAGATATCTGTACATTGGATCTCATATATATCTTCAGATTGAGCCACACATAGTGCTTCTATTATTTTATAAATAAAATATCTTATATATAAATTAATTTTTTACCTATTTTCTTTCCTTCTGTACTTACATTATTTACAATCATGTCATTCACAATACTTTCTTCATTATTCAATGAATCTAAATAAGATTAATTTTAAAATGTATTTTTTTTCAGTGTATTTATTTTTGTAAATATAATATATAAAAAGTAATATTCCATGTTATAGTGTCCATTTTTCAAAAATATATATAAATAAGCAAACTATTCTAAATTTATTTAGCATTTTTATTAAAATATAGTTTATTATTAAGTTAGGATAAACAAATAAATATATAATTATCAAATTATGAAAGAATGATTAAGTAAACAATTTAGCCAATATTATCTTTATTAATGTAAAAAGAATAATAGTGTATGATTTTTTAAGATATTGACTATTTATATAGAAAATTTTGATTATGTTTTATTTAGCTAATATTTTGACATCATCTTATGTGATTATAATAGAAAAATTTAAAAAAAATTTCCCATTTCTAGTGTCCTGCTTCTGAAAGGTGAAAATATATTGTAAAGCAATTTTTGCTTAACTTGAAAACTAAAGAAATCAATATTGTTTAATACTCTGGTGAAAAATGACTTAAATATAAATTCTATAGAAATTAGGCAAATTTGGGAGGAAATAGGAAAAACATATAACTTCAAATATGATCAAGTGAAAAATAAATCTTCCATTAAAATAGATAATTAACTAATAAATTTTTATTTTTTAAAACTTAAATGCCCAAAGTGTTTTGTTATTAATTTGTGAAAATTTTAAGGATTTTTTCAAAACATTTTGGACACAGACTTATATATAAATTTATTTACCTATTTTCTTTCTTTTAACATTTTTGTTTTCAATATTTATATCTTTTAAAACTACAATTAATCGTCTTTCAACTAAATCATAGTTTGAATTTTAAAAACTGTATAAAATATACTTTGTTCATCACCAGCTTTATTATTGAATCCTCTTTTTTGGTCCTCAAGATTATTGCTACTTTTATCTTTAGTTTTTTTCATAAAGTCTTTAATGCTTAAATTTTTAAATCGCAAAGTCACTTTATTTAAATAGTGATTTTAAACTCGGCTTACAATATTAAATTTGTTAATTTTCAATTAATAAATCTTTATATTTATTTAATTAGGGTTATATAATAATTTAATTAATAAAAATCAATTAAACTTCAACTGTTAATGCTAAATTGATATTTAAACATTATGCATGGTATTGATATTTTATTTTTAACAAAGAATTTGATTGCAAGCTGACATAGTGAAAATATAATTTATATGTATTAAAATTAATCTAATCTAATAAAATTTAGATAGTCTTATTAATTTTTAAATAATAAAATTAAATCTATATATTACTTAATAGAATTATAATAAACAGGGGACAATCAAAAAAAGTTCTTTTTAGTTTAAGGGGATATTAAGGAACCATTAAAAAAAAATTTGTTTTGGCTTCAGGGGGCTATTCAATATCTTTAGTTTTTTCATAAAGTCTTAAATGCTTAAATTTTTAAATCGCAAAGTCACTTTATTTAAATAGTGATTTTAAACTCGGCTTACAATATTAAATTTGTTAATTTTCAATTAATAAATCTTTATATTTATTTAATTAGGGTATATAATAATTTAATTAATAAAAATCAATTAAACTTCAACTGTTAATGCTAAATTGATATTCAAACATTATGCATGGTATTGATATTTTATTTTTAACAAAGAATTTGATTGCAAGCTGACATAGTGAAAATATAATTTATATGTATTAAAATTAATCTAATCTAATAAAATTTAGATAGTCTTATTAATTTTTAAATAATAAAATTAAATCTATATATTACTTAATAGAATTATAATAAACAGGGGACAATCAAAAAAAGTTCTTTTTAGTTTAAGGGGATATTAAGGAACCATTAAAAAAAAATTTGTTTTGGCTTCAGGGGGCTATTCAATATCTTTAGTTTTTTCATAAAGTCTTAAATGCTTAAATTTTTAAATCGCAAAGTCACTTTATTTAAATAGTGATTTTAAACTCGGCTTACAATATTAAATTTGTTAATTTTCAATTAATAAATCTTTATATTTATTTAATTAGGGTATATAATAATTTAATTAATAAAAATCAATTAAACTTCAACTGTTAATGCTAAATTGATATTCAAACATTATGCATGGTATTGATATTTTATTTTTAACAAAGAATTTGATTGCAAGCTGACATAGTGAAAATATAATTTATATGTATTAAAATTAATCTAATCTAATAAAATTTAGATAGTCTTATTAATTTTTAAATAATAAAATTAAATCTATATATTACTTAATAGAATTATAATAAACAGGGGACAATCAAAAAAAGTTCTTATTAGTTTAAGGGGATATTAAGGAACCATTAAAAAAAAATTTCTTTTGGCTTCAGGGGGCTATTCAAATTTTTCAGGGGGCTTTAGCCCCTGCGCCCCCCTCCCTAATGACGCCACGGCTTAGTAAGATTTATTGAAAATAGCGAGAGATAACCCTGTTGAAATATTGATATACTTATATTGTACAGGAAATACAACTGGTCTCGATATTAAAAATAATATAATATCCAAACTTGGCACCATGAATCTACCCCTCGAATTTCTAGTTAGGCAAAACTATGATGGCGCCTCAAACATGAGTGGAAGAATCAATGTAGTGCAGGCTTTGATTAGCACGGAGGCGTCAAAGACAGCTTTTATTTGGTGCTATTGTCATCGATTAAATTTAATCATTGTTCAATCATGCCAATCAATTAAAGAACTCAGAAATGTTTTAGGAATATTAGATGAGATTTATATTTTAATGGCGTTAAAAGATATGATAGGCCCATATCATGTACTGACAAAATAGCAACGATTTCTGCGCATCAAAAATACCACTCAGTAATATTATCTTATTTGTTTAGATTTAAAATGTTTATTTTATATTTATAGAAGCTGGCTATCATCATACAAAGCAATTGTAAATTTTTTCCTACTTTATGATGCCTTGAGGGGAGCTTTGATAAAATTAGAGAATTCTGAAGATCTTGCCACTTCCACTATGGTTATTGCTATAGTCTTTAGAATAAAAAAATTTTATTTTATTTTATCGCTTTGTGTTTTGGATAAAATATTGCTAATAACAAGCTTGGCTTGTACAAAATTACAAATCATTTCGAAGGATATATGGTTTGCAATAAATCAAATTCAATTGTCAAAAGATTGCCCGATTATGAGAAATATAATTTAAATTATTGCCTTTTATTATTTTTTAATCCTAATTGATAATAACACTGAATTTTTGTATGTTTTTTCAAAAGCACAAGATTTTACTAAGGAGAGAAATCTACCTTTTCATTTTGAAAGTTCTAGAAAAGGAGAGGTATATACTTTCATCATTTTTATTGTAGCTTTAAAACCATTGTTTTATGCTGCACTTGATTTTTGATTTGATTATTATGCAGTTCAATGAAAGATTTAATAAAATATTTAATGATGAATCAATGAATTTTTAAATCAAACATCATTTTTTACACCAAAGGGAATAGCGGAAAAGTCAATTGTTAAAGATGATATCGAGGATATATGTGAATTTTATCATTTAAATTCAAGTCATATTTTTGAAGAAATGTTGAAGTTTCGAAATATTCATAAGATGGCTAAAACCGGGGAGTAAATATTACTCGTGATCTAGAGGTTAAAGAATCTAAAGTAGATTCTGAGAATTGTGAATTTATTTAATTAAAATATTTATACTAATACATTCTTTGGTTCCATGTCAATTCAGCGAAACTTTTATCGCGAAACACTTTTTCGCAAAACTTTCATCGCGAATATCGTTTATCGCGAATGAATTTTATAGCGAAACTTTTAGCGCGAATCCACATTAGCGAAAACTTTTCTTCGAAAACATTATAGCGAAACAAATATCGCGAATTTTTTATAGCGAAACCTTTAAAGCTAATACATTAGAGCAAAATTTTTATCGCGAATTAACGTGAAGATTTTATAGCGAAGTCAATATCGCGAAATATAAATCGCGAAGATAATATAGCGAAAACTATTTC